AAGCAAATCAAATGAACACTAAAATTGAAGTTATTGAAGACAAAGTTATTAAAAATATGAAAAGAATGATTTCTTCATTTTCCTTCTGTCATTTTGAAAAGTATATCGAAAGGAAAATAGAAAAAAAACTTCGAATATTTTGGAAGAAAGAGTGACGAGGCTAGTGGGATAAAGAGGGATAGTTAATCTATGGTTAGAGGGTAATTGATTAATTGATTAATTGATTGATTAATTGATTAATGCCAGCATTAATCAATCCGTCGTTAATAGACCAAAGAAAACAAGACAGGTAGAACAAAAACAGCTTCATTATCTAGTGACCTGGAAGAGCTTTAATAGACTTCATGACATCATGACAGCTTCTCTGGAATTCGCCAGTTAAGAGCGAAATGATATTGAGAATGGTTTTCATACATAATTTTTCAAGAAACCAAATAGAATTTAAATGACTCAACTACTAGTAGTAAATAGATTTGGTCAACATGTCAAGATTTTCTAAAAAGAACGATAATCATAATGTATCCTTAAGTGTGTAGAAAAGACATGTTCTCTTATTTTTCGATAGCGTGATTTCTATTGTAAACAAAACAGTCTCTATAGTCACAGATTTAAAAAAATCCAAAAAACGACAATTTATACTCTACGTCATACAATCAGACGAATATGAAAATCATTTTACAATTCAAATGTTTTAGAAATTACTAAAAAAAAAAAGAGAATCAGACATTTCTTTACACATTCAAACACAAAGACAGTTTTCTGAATAGTCTGGTGGAATCAAGAACATAGAATTATTCCAGTGGATTGATTAAAATGGTCGGCCTTGAATAATAGGATGGACCAAGATTTTTGTCATAAAGCTTACGATATTGAAAAACTTAACTTTCCCATTATCAAAGATTCTAACAGGAGAGAATTCAAATGGTATTTGACGGCCAAGAACTTCAAGATATTACTCATAACAACAATTAATACGTAATTGACATTATATTAACGGCGTAACATTAAAAATCAAACTACTTAGAACTAAACCAAACTTTTACCTTTTAACAAAATTTGATAATTTAGCACATACACACATACCCGAATTACTTTTATGTAACTGTTGCCTAACCCTTTTAAGATTACAGCTTACTAGAAAGCTCTGACTATAGGTTTAGGACAATAATCTATTTAAAAAGAAATTTGAAAAATGATCATTATGCTGAAAGGCATTATTTCCTTGAACTAAGAAAATCTTTCCCACAGGTTTTCTCGGTTTAATACTACATGTTGTCAACTAGATAGCATTTAGTAGTGTTTACAATGCGAATACCATCAATTTTCAAATTTTAACATCAACTATATCTTAATAAAATACGTAGAATGACTAAATGTTTACACTTACACCGTGTCCAATTACCAGGAACAAAAGACTTCCATTTCAGAGACGACCTTTTGTTAGAGGTTATAATTCTGCGAAAACATGCAAACAGTAAAAATTCGCTGGTGACAAGCCAAACAATTTAAAAATAAAATATTTCTTTTAAACTGTCCTCTAAAAATGTAACCTCTAATAAAAAATCGTCTCTGCAATGGAAGATTGTTGTTTCTGGTGATTGAACATGGCGAAAGTGTAGAAATTTTATTCATTCTACGTATTTTATTAATGCAAATTTGTCACGATTTTTAAAAGATCATCTATCTGTTTACATGTAAATGGAGTGCAACTGTGTTTATATAAACTCAACTTTAACCATTGCATATTCATAGCTATTTACCGAAACGAGTAAACAGATTCGGAATTCGAAGTGACGCATTGGTAATATTCCCGAGTTTATATTCCAAATGCCTGAGATATGACCTTGACGTTAAAGGATGAGGGTCATTTTAATATTACTGTAAAACCTCGATTTAACAAAGTTTCCCGTCCGTGTATCATAGGTAAAAAAATTGATACAGTGTTAGTTTTAAGATGCTTTTTATATCTAATTAAATTAAAAGGTTATCATTTCCCAATTCTTACAGTCACCGCTCTTAACTTTACGTCACAAGAGGAGTCTCTCGATATATCATCATCCGACAACGAATAATCAGGAAATTTTTGCCAAATTTAAATTTTGTTTTTTTATAAACATTATTTATTTGTTTACTTAAATACAATTAAAGTCTATTCTCCAAAAATGTTTCTTTATTTATTTCTTATACTTGTTTATTACAGTCTCAAAACTACGGTGAGTATACATAAGCAATAATAGATATAGAGAGCTTTTCGATGAAATTAAATTTCCACACATACTGTACTTCATTTTAATTACACAAACATATCTAGAAAGGAAAAACAGATAAGCTAACTAATTTGTCAATTTTTAATACTCACATTCGGAAAACTAATGTATTACGGACTTTCGGCTTTAACGGACTAATTCAGGCACGTGTACNCATATTCTTTTCCACAAAAATAAAACCTGAAAGAACAATATTTTATAATTTTATTTAAATTAAATTATAGAATAGGTATCACTCCACGTAATCTTACCTTTAAATAACATTATTTCAAATATTCAAAAAAGAAAAACATTTAATTAACATTTAAATCTTCTTTAAACAAATTCCAGCTACGAGTTGCTTAACTTTACCGGCAATATTTAAAACTGCGTGGCGCCATCTGTTACGATATTTTATTAAAAAACTTAACTATTATAAAATGGGGTCAGTGGATATAAAATATCGAATGGTAGTTAATTATTCAAAAATATATAATTTTTGATTGTGTGATTTTAAAAACAAATACTATATTTTACGTATTTTATAGAAATTAATTTAAATTTGACATTAAGCAATTTTTTAACACGATATGATGGTTTATTAATACAAGGTATTAAATAAATCATCATATCGTGTTAAAAAATTACTATGAAAAGAATATTAAAGTATTACGACGTATTCCACAGGAAAAAATTTGTTGTAATAAATTTACAATTTTTTACTGTAAATGTATACTGTTTTACATCTTATTAAGCATATTTAAGAAAAGACTTACTTTTTGTAGAAAGACTTCGGAGAGGGGAGGGCAAAATGGATCATTTAACTTTAAATGACTACATGAAACACTAAATAGAGCAATACGGCCACTTCTCACTTAAGGACTTCCCTGTTTAACGATAACTCGGATTTAATTCCATCTCTTCAGCGCGGGAAATCCACTTCTATAATATACTCATAGCCTAGTTTCTGTAGTTGGTCAGTATTCACTACATAAAACGTTCTCATTTTTTTTTTAATTTCTGCAGTATGAATGACGTTGTTTTACACTGCTTTTCAGCACTGTTTGACTTGAATATACAATGCAATGTATCAAAAGGAATTCTTAAGTGTTGCGATGCAGAACGCATAGTCATTTTCCATTGAGTACCTGGTCTATAGCTAGTTTCATGTTTTCTTCTCATCAGGTTCTAGTTAGATATTTTTTTATATTTATACACCATCCGGAATGCAAATTATAATGATTCACGCATCATTTTCGAAAATTAGTTTGTAGGTTTTTGGAATATTATTCAAGTAGGCAAAGTGGATCACAATGTAGCAAGCCCTATCCGCTTTGCCTTGTATATCCATTTTGCCTGGCACTTCTCTATGGACATTTATAATAAATCCAAAATATTCAGTTATTTTGTATTTATATCATTTTATCTAGAATACAGTTAAATATATTTCAGTATATGACGAATCAGCATACTGTTATTTATTGATATAACACCATGAAATTGAAATGATTATGTTGATATTTGATATAGGATATTATTCTTATTATTCGTTATATTCTTAATATTTTATGATATTGAATGAAATGCTACTAGTTAAAATGATAATATGTTTTCTTAGTTTTAAAAACAACTGCGATAATATTATGTAAAAATTATAAAAAACATTTGTGATTTATGAATTAATTAAAAATCCTTAATACTATTATTTGAACTGGTTTATTTTAAATATTGATAGTAAATTTAGAATTTAATCAACAAACTTGATTATGAAGTATAATTAATAAATATCGTTTGATTTATCTACTTACGTTTTAATAAGCAAATTTACGTTCATATCAAGTAACTTCATTAAAAGATTCTTTACCTATTTTTGAAAATTAATACATTATATAATGTATTACATTAATTAATTTTCAAAAATAAATAAAGAATCTTTTAATGAAGTTACTTGATATGAACGTAAATTTACTTATTAAAACGTAAGTGGCTAAATCAAAAATATTTATTCATTTAAGTTACACGTACAGTACACAAACTATAAAACTTAGCGAACACGATACAATTTCCTTTGAATCAGATTGTTTTCGTTTGAGTTTTACCGTTGTATTACTTCTCATGCGAAAATATTTCCACTTTTGTAAATCCTACAATTGTATGTAAATACTAATTTTACGCTATAAATTTTACTTATTTTGTTTTAATATAAATCTTTACTAATTGCTAAAAACTAATATAAAATACTTAAATGAAATATCTCATATTTATTTAGTAAATATTTATAATAATCTTATTGAAGATTGCATTGTTGACATAAAGATAATCTTCATATATGTTTAAAGTCAACACAAATTTCGTTACACATATAAACTAACTTATATAAAACTCAGAGTTGTTTCTAGGAAAAATTCCAAATTACTGTATGTTTTATGGCCATTTTTCTGCTTCTCCGACTTGTTCGTGCTAAAATATAGGTGCAGACATCTTATTACATACGGTGTAAAATATACTGATTCTTATGGGTCAAATTTGAATGACCTGCGATTTAATTAGATCTTTGTAATTTTTACCTTGTAAAAACATTGGCTGATGTAAATTGCAACAATTTACCAAGGAAATCATTACAAATTTGTCCCCTTAAAACATTATAAGTACTGAATAATCTCGAAAATTTAAATAGTATTAAAAATTCATAAGTTTACTACATACATGTTAGTAAAAACAAAATTAATTTGAAAATTTTGTTGATATCTTTAGGTGAGTTTCTTCTCGACTAGTCCCGAATTAAGTAATAAACAGAGGTTCGAATATTTCTTAAGAACGGTTCCTTCTGATCAAAATCAAGCACATGCTATGGTAGAAATTATCAAAAGACTAAAATGGGCTTACATCTCGATCCTTTACGAAGAATCCAATTATGGAGTAAAGGTGAGGCTATCTTCATTTTCAATTATTTTATAACTTGACATTTTATTGTTTATACCTTCTTTTGTAGGCTTTTAGCGTCTTGGAAGAGTTATTAGCAAAAAATAATATTTGCATCGCAATCAAAGAAAGATTGATTAAAGATTCTGGAGTGGCTGTAGAGAAGGCTTACGATAATATTGTGCAAAAATTGATGTCGAAACAAAATGCCAGAGGTTAGATAACTTACTTTTATTTGTATTTTAAGACAGAAAATAATAAGATTCCGTAAGATTTAATTCATATCAAACGATCGAAACTTTATATATTTGGAACAACAACAACGTAGAATAACAATATAGAATTACTTTTAAATTACTCATTCTTCGATCCGTATACTGCATATATAACATATATATATAGTAGTAATATAATACAAAATGTAGTTGAAAAAAGTACAAAACAATAATCCTAAGACGAACAGAAATGAAAGAATAACAAAAAAATGAATTATTTTCTATTATAAAAGACTTCGTTCCTGTCTTAATTCAACTAATGCAAAACAACTTTAATTCTTTAATTAATAACAAAATTAGTCTTTAATTTAATTTAAATTAAATTATCTCCTTTTCTTTTGGTATGTATGAGTAAAATGTATTTTCTAAATTATTTTATCGCTTTACAATGTTTACAAAATTATCGTCCCCTGATATTACAATAAATCTGAGTTTCTCAAATTAGAAAATGCTTTCACGCTCTTCTTCCGTATTCAATCACTGGGAATAGATTTACTTTCACTTATTGATATTTGTTGATTTAAATTTACACATGAATTGACTATTTTATTAGCTCGTGTTTAAAGTTGCATTAATATTTCTTTTTTGAATTTCCACTCAATATTGAGTGTAGTTGTCATGTTATTTACCATGTCTTATTTCTCACGTAGGATGTCATAATTTATTTATTCCGACTACCTGAACTAAATATTTAATATATAAATTTGCCTGCCTGTATTTTAAACTGAAACGAGATGTAAATGTGTAAATATTGTTTTCTAATCTAGAAGTCACAATTGTATTAACAAAAAGTTTATTTTAAATATAAAATTTATGCGTTATCATATATACAGTATTTGCATTTATGTTAAAGAAGAGTAAAACTCTTAAATTATTTAATATTAGTAATAAAATTTCAACTTCTCCAGATTTTAAATTTTATTAATCTTAAAGTAAGTAACAAAATATTTAGCATATATTGAAAATTTTAAAAAATTTTGAAAAATATAAAATTTTAGATGAAATAAATGTATTTTACATAATTTATTTTAACAGATGAATTAATTCTAAAATTTGTCACTTCTTTGTTTCTGCCGAAAATATAATAAAAGTAAACAAACTAGTGAGAGCATTTACAGTAATATCAATGTTATAATTGAAGTGATTCGATCAATTCCGTTAGAATTCAAANTGTAAATGGAGTGCAACTGTGTTTATATAAACTCAACTTTAACCATTGCATATTCATAGCTATTTACCGAAACGAGTAAACAGATTCGGAATTCGAAGTGACGCATTGGTAATATTCCCGAGTTTATATTCCAAATGCCTGAGATATGACCTTGACGTTAAAGGATGAGGGTCATTTTAATATTACTGTAAAACCTCGATTTAACAAAGTTTCCCGTCCGTGTATCATAGGTAAAAAAATTGATACAGTGTTAGTTTTAAGATGCTTTTTATATCTAATTAAATTAAAAGGTTATCATTTCCCAATTCTTACAGTCACCGCTCTTAACTTTACGTCACAAGAGGAGTCTCTCGATATATCATCATCCGACAACGAATAAACAGGAAATTTTTGCCAAATTTAAATTTTGTTTTTTTATAAACATTATTTATTTGTTTACTTAAATACAATTAAAGTCTATTCTCCAAAAATGTTTCTTTATTTATTTCTTATACTTGTTTATTACAGTCTCAAAACTACGGTGAGTATACATAAGCAATAATAGATATAGAGAGCTTTTCGATGAAATTAAATTTCCACACATACTGTACTTCATTTTAATTACACAAACATATCTAGAAAGGAAAAACAGATAAGCTAACTAATTTGTCAATTTTTAATACTCACATTCGGAAAACTAATGTATTACGGACTTTCGGCTTTAACGGACTAATTCAGGCACGTGTTCCCGTGCCTGAATTAGTCCGCTAAATCGAGGATTTACTATATTAAGAGCGGGATTTTGAAAATAGTAATTTATTTTGATCCGATGGCTGAGAATTTGATAATTTACTCGAAATTTGAAAACTTGATTTCTATGGATAGAATTTACATTTGTACTGTACTTAACTTTTAAGAAAGTACTAGACTACCTGTCACCCGTGACCAGAGGAGTGACAATGTTTTTGGCGCTCTTAACAATACATTAGATTTTATTTCGCGACGTAAAAATGTTTGCAAGGAGTGAGGGGCGCCAAGGTTCCTCACTTAAAACAAACAGGAACAAGCTACCATCTATTTCATTGCAATATTATTCACTAAATGAAAGGGATTTCTTGAATTCCCTGCTACTTTTTTTGACAACATGCATAAACATCGTCGAATTGTTTGCTGAAAAACAGGTAGTTTTTAACTATTTTAACAATGTTAGCATCTGATTTGTACAGTACATCTAGCTATATATTATACTACTAAAAGATTGAGATATTTTGGTTAGTTGAAATTAAATATAGAAAAAAACAGCGCAAAATATCGTATTTATTAAAATCTATTTTTGTATATTTTCTGGCAACTTCATCTGGATGAACGACCCGCATAAAAATAATCTTGTGTTTCTCTATATCGTCGAAATCTGAACTGCAGTGTATATGAGAGAAAACAGTGATCCCTTTTCATGTAAATGTACTGCGATGTATCAATATTGAAAGCAATGAAATCCAGATCATCATACTAATGGCATTAAATTTCTGTTTTAATCGAAGAATACGGTGTTTTTGATATGTAGAGACGTGCTATTTGAGAAAATGAAACAAGCATGAATCTATTTCAATGTTCCTTCTTTTTGCTCCATTACCAACCAGATGTACTGTACTGTACACGTGCCACTTGTTATCATTAAGACAATGAACACTCAAATTGTATACATATAATTGTCTTTTATAGTAAGCAATATTAGTCCGTAGAAAGTGTTTAGCAGAATTTACTGTAGGTAATAAGAATAGAAAATATCAAAAACTCAATTTTATAAAACCAATTTTTATTCACGTAAATGCATTAAAAAGTAAAGTAGAATAATTTTTTTACTTCAGTACATTCGTGTGAATAAAGAGTGGTTCTTTAAACTTTATATATAAATACTTTTTAATTTTATTTTTTAGTTTTATACACGAAATGCTGAATTATCGAAATTCTTCGTGGTTTAACATTTTATTGGGAAGTGGGTGAAAAATTGAATTACAACATTTTATGTAGACAGTGCAACAAAAAAAAAAAACAAGAAATTTACTAAACTACGTGTAGGGCCATATGTTATCAGGTTTTTACAAATATTAATTTATCGCCAATACTTTACTAATTGATAAACTTGTTTGCAAACACTAAGAAAATGTATTTCTACATACACACATTCTAACCGACCCATTTATTATATCTATGTGAGTCTTTTCAGAAGATGAACTAGAAAAACATTCATTTGGATACTTTTTAGAATTTAAAGTTGAAACAAAAATTGTTTATTTACACTTTATTTATATGTCTAATTTTTTATCTATGAATCTACGGTGTGGATCTATAAACAATACATCCACACTGTAACGAAACCGGATGTGTCACCATTAATTTCCTCGGGAATATGAAACATTTTCCTCTTAAATTAAACAAGTACAGACTAATTAAGAAAGTATTTAATGTATATATATCTGCTATCAAATTATATGCAGATTACGACAAACTGTTAAATAAAAAAGTACTTACTCTAAGTATTTAAAATTGTCCATTAATTCTTCAAAGCAAATATTCAAAGTCGATTACTTCAATCTGAGAGAAAGAATTGGCGGCGTTTCAGGTTTTCTGGATTGCTGAATCCGACTTGTATGACTGGCTGTATATATACATTGTGCCATAGATAAAATTTTGATTCTGTTTGGCTATGTTAAGCACATTTTCGTAACGCAAATTTCCCTAATGACTGTAGAATATAGATTTTATTCACGTCAAAAACTAAAAAAAAAAAAAATGTAGAGCGTACATAGTTAACGAGGTTTTTAGAGAAAGTTAGAGAAAGTAGTTTGATAGCAATATACCTTATTGACTTAGCAACAGTATACTTCAATACGAGTGGACATGAACTGACCAATGCCTATATTTTGAATTTTATAAAGGAAAATGAAATGATAAAGAAATATAATATTTTTAAAGTGCAAGAACCTTAATCAAATATCTTATAACGCACTGAATTTATTTCCTGATTCACCGGTATCGTAATATGATGTTTTAATGTATATTAATCATTATTCTTATGATTTAAATGTTAACGATAAACATATAGTACATTTTTTCACGGATATTATAGTTATTGTAAATTGTCTATATATACTGTATATTGTCATTCGTTAGCATCCGTTAGCATAAACAAAAGAAAAAGTTTAAAATAAAATTGTTATGAGGCGGTCATCAAAAATTTCATTATATTTTCACCATATATAGCCTACATTTTTTAATATCTCCAATTTCGAAATGAAGTCGAGACATATTACTATCGGGATTGCAGACTATCATATTCTTCATAAAAATTCACAATAGCAAAAATTATTAAACGTCACATGACTTTTCTGTAAAACAGTTTTGTGATTACTCATTTTACTATTAATAACAGTCTACGTGATTGTTCTCCGCAGAATACAAAGGCAGTTATTTACTATTTTTAAATACACATTCTTCTTCAAAGCATACTTGGATACATAATACTTTCACTAATACACTGCTCCAAACTTCTCAAAAGAAGAAATCCAGATAATTTCGCGAAATATCGCGAGATAATTTCGATTTTTTTTTTTATTTTGGAGTATTTTTAGCGGCTCCTATATATTTACATTGTATTGATATTTGTGTGCTTTACGACTCTTTCGTGTAAAGACAAATTTATAATTTTACGCCTACGGTTAAGATTATAACTCTAATTCTTATGAGAGTGGAACCATCTAACAATTCATAAGCAATGTGGAGACAATTGTAAATTTCATAATCTCTGGAGACTTCGTTAATTATTTTATCCAAACCGTCGGATAAAGGTATCACCAGATAGCCTTCGTATAAAACCGAATCTGTGCTGCAATCCAAAACTTTACTACCTAGTTTTTCCAAATAATAGTAGAGTATATATGTTATAAAAGCTTATAGTAAAAGCTGTTATCACTACATTGCTCCTCGGAGATTGTTTTCCTCTTTACAGTTCTTATGAACTACTTTCAATACA